TATACCATAAAGTCGAGGTGGTTAAAGGTGGGAAGTAGACATGAAGCGCAAGCCATAAGAAAGTGTGCGTGATTCGCCTTTCGTTCAGTCCTTGGAATGTCCGCTGGATGGCGGTGCTTCTATATCGAGAATATATGATGAAAAGATGCGAGATGGTGGTACTTGGAGTGTTGAATAGATGGACGAATGGACACACAGACAGATGCATGGACGGACTCACGGATGGCTGCACCGACGGATGGTTGCATGGATGGACGCAGGTGCGGACGCATGGACGAACGCAGGGACGGACGCACAGATGGACGTGCGGACGCACGAACAGACGCACACACGGACTGGCGAATGGACGCGTGGACGGTCACACAGACGGACGCATGGATGGACGGAAGCAAGAACGAATGGACGGACGGGTACTTCGCCCCACTCTCCATCATTCAATCCGTAGATATGCTGCCATTTTTTTCCGAAGCAGCTTCAAGTAGCATTGTGGCATTGTGGTAGAACATCTGCTTGCCACACTAACCACCCAGCTTCGATCATGAATTGAACTAAAAATTTTATATTTGATTTTATATACTTCTTTCTCGATTTTTCGCTCACGGACGATATTTCGCTCACACCAACGGGGCCGACGGCGGAATTTCTGCGACACGAGCTCTGTAACGCTACCGCGTTAGTATGATCAAGCGTAGTATTATCCAGCCTGTTTCAACTAACCCTTGGTCATCCTATGTTGTGCTTGTGCGCAAAAAGAATGGGTCCTTTAGATTCTGCGTTGACTACCCCCGAAACAATCTGATAACTCAGAAGTATGTATAGCCAATGTCACGCACAGACGATGCTCTCGATTGCTTTCAAGAAGCACAATATTTCTCCTCTTTAGATGTACGCTCGGGTAATTTGCAGGTTCCAGTGGCTGACCATGACCGATCAAAAACTACGTTCGTCATGCCTGACGGGCTGTAGGAGTTTAACGTCATGCCATTCAGACTCTGCAACGCCCCAAATTCTTTCGAATACATGATGGACACCATTCTTTGTGGCTACAAGTGGGACACCTACCTTCCTCTGCTACCTTGACGACGTCGTCGTTGTGTCGCGTGACTTTGCGACTCACTTGCTTCGTCTTCGTACTATTCCTACGTGTGTCATCAATGCTGACTTTCAACCTAACATCAAGAAATGCCATCTTACCACACGTCGGCTCGCTATACTGGGCCACGTCGTCTGCAAGGAGTCTGTTCTCCCGGACGCTATGAATCTTCGCGCCATGGCCGAATATCCGAAGCCCAATTGCAATAAGACGCTTTGACGTTTTGTCGGGCTGCGTAGTATTTTCGCCTATTTGTGCGTGACTTCACTTTCATCAGTGCCTTTTGCCAGTTTACTGACAATCTCCAACGACATTTCTGTTTGGTCACAAGAGCAAGACGAATTCTCGCGACGAAGCGCTAACATCGCCACCAATTCTACATCATTTTGATCTTCATGTGCCTACGGATACCCATACCGACGCCAGCAGGGTCGGTCTTGGAGCAGTATTGGCTCAAATAAAACCAAGATGCAAAGAATACATGGTCGCTTACTTAAATTCACCTCTTAAGGAAGCCGAGTGTAATTATTCCGTCACTGAGAAAGAGTGCCTCCTTATTATATGGGCTTTGTCGAAATTCCGCTCGTACTCTTATAGTTCTCCTTTCCAAGTTGTCACGTACCGCCACGTTCTCTGTGTGCTATCATCGCCCAAAGATTTGTCGGGGCGCTTCACCTGCAGAAATACGACAGTCGTGTACCGATCCGGACGCAAGCACTCGGACGTTGATGCGCTATTACGCTCGTCGCTACCGACTGACCCGAATTCCTCATCAGCTTCTTCAGTTGTCTTGAGGCCATTCGACTTCGCAGAGACAGCATCGGGGGAATGTAAAGGTGCGTGGATTTCCCTACTCCTCTACTTTCAGACACATCCGCAAGCTCATCTGGTTCCGAAAAAATGTTTGCCGTCAAGCCACGCATTTCGCTATTTGAGAAAACCTCCTCTACTGGCAGAATCACACGCCTGATGGTCGGAGGTGGCTGCCAGTGATACCCTTCCACATGCGCTCGGACACCTGTAGTGTTCTCCACAACGATCCGCAAATGCTAACGCCAGCGCTTTCAAAACGCACAACCGTTTGCGTCATCGCCTATAATCGCACATAATGTACACATTTCTTTGCAAGTACGCACGTGCTTTTACTGCTTGTTAGCCGCCACCTCATCGGCCGGCCGTTACACTTCAGCCTCTGCTTTGTCCAGCTGGTCTATTAGACCACGTCTGAATCGACCTATAGGGTCCGCTCCCATTGTCTTCTTCTGGAAAGAGGTGGATAATTGTAGGCGTGTGCCACCTCACGCGTTACGCGGAGACAGCAGCACTACACCGAGCCACGACCACAGAAGTTGCCCTCTTCATCTTGTGCAACTTTGTTCTGCGCCAGGGTGCTCCCCGTGAACTTATGATCGACAGAGGGGGTGTTTTTCTGTCTGACAGATGCCCTTCAAGCCTTTCTCGTTCAGTGCAACATCGTTCATCGCATGACGACAGCATACAATCCGAACGAATGGCCTCACAAACTATTTAATCGCATTCTCGGTGATATGTTCACAATGTGCACCGCTTCGGACAAGACCAATTGAGACACCGTCCCATTTGTCGCGTATGCGTACAAAAGTGATGCGCATGCGACCACAAATTTTTTAGTTGGAAATAGCTATTTGACAAGCATATGTAACGCTGTCCGTCCATGCCTCCATGCCAACGAACTGCACCCTATTTCCCCTCCGCAGTTGGAATTATGCTAAGTAGGTAATGCCACAGCTGGGCCTTAGCGTAATTTTTTCGGCTCCTTTATCTGCGATGAAACTTACACGGAACCCAACCCACCTCCCATGCCTTTGCGTTTCAAAGGAACGTTTACTAGAGTAAAGGCTACACCGAGTTTCGCTTCAAGCCGTTCTTCCATCATCCACGTCGACGCCTGTTTCTACCGGGTCCACGGCGTGCGCACTGCTGCTGCTTCGCATCCCATCATGGTTTCCTCGGGAAGATGGTCCATAATTTTTCTCTTTATGTCTCTTGTATGGTCGTGAACCATTGTACGTGCTACACACAATGAACCTCTACACGCCCGACTTCCCTGAATACACTGCCATTTCTGATTGTGCACGTACTCCAAAGACTACAGACAATTCGCCCGTTCACTGTCAATCGAGGTAAAAGGCCACCTGAAACTATGACACTGACCGACCTCTTCCTACTTTAAAGGGCCAGGCAACATGCTCCGACGTTTTTACACCCCAAAACAAGCTCAGCGTCTTTCTTACACCTGACCAATTTTTTTCCACGTGCAGTGACGTTAAATCGGCGATCGGCGACGTGACGCAGCACGCATCTCGTTTATTGGTCTAAATCAGGTCTCAAGAAACAGTAGTGAAGTCAACGTCCCCGATCCACTGCGCGTGGAAGGAGATTGGTCAGGCATTGAAAGGATGCAACAGCTTGTTTGGAGGTTGTGAGAAAACAGTCGGAGCATATTGACTGGCCCTTTAACGACTGGTCCCCCCGTTTCGCTCTCTTGCCACAAACAAGCGCTCAATAAAACTCGCGCTTCATATTTTTATCGGCTACGCAAATCTAGGCGCCAAGCAGACGTGACAAAAGCCGGCGTAAAGAAGAAACAAGCGGCAAAAGACCACACGCGCACACGTCCTCTTCCCCTCGAAATAACCACTGCCACGCTGACAAACCTCCACGGATCTTGCACCCAGTCCACTTTTCCTTCTTCAGATGTACATGGAAAGTATTCTAGTAACATCCCCAATATCTTCCTTGGTATGATTGGTTGTCAGATCTTTTTAATTCATTGTTGGCCGCCGGAAACAATTATTGTACGCCAGTGGTTATGCAGCAATAAAATATTGACAATTTGGTTCAGATATACAGAACAATAATGTATTAAAAATATCCAAGTAAAGACATTTTTTTTCTGCCGCTACCAGCCCAAAAATGTAACCTAATTAGCACAAAGTAGCCAAATCTAGCAAGCCTGCGTAGGGCCAGCGCACAAGAAGGCGGAGGGAAGTTAGGTTAGATGCCAAATTGACAAATACAAATACAAATGCAGAATTGACAAATACAAATTCTGCGTTTACTCTCATTCCCACTCGTTATCTCTATCAGTTACGCTCACGCTCATCAAAGAAGAAAATTATGTCTCAAAGCTGACTCCCCCGTTATCATGAAATGCCTAACAATAAAAGAAAGCACTTGAAAATGATAATAGGCAATACATTAAAATGAATACTGTGAATGTTAGTCGTACTACATAAATGTTGGGCTTTGGCTAGCGTACGAAGTCAACGGAGCAGGGACAAGACGCAGCCCTTTTAAGCCGTAGCCTTCCGAGCCGTGCTAAATCGCAAACAGGAATGCAAGCCCATGTGGCGGGGGATCCTGCAAACCATGCTGCTGAATTGGCGCGCAATCTCAAACGCTAGCAACAACGTCTCGCCGAACAGGCGCCGTTTCGGGTATCACAGCATCAACGTGACGATTTCGGGAGCGCGTTCGCCTGGGCATACGCCCGCTATCTGCGGTAGTTTTTTCAGCGGTACTTTGGCCCCCCCTGCGACGTATGTGACCGCCTGCGACCACCTGTTCTTCGCGAACAACCACTGTTATTAAGGGAATCCTAAATGCATTAAACCACTCCTTACACTACTCCACGACCATGATGATGCCAGGAACAATGTGCGGTATGTGAAATGAATACTGTGGCCAGCCCAAGCCGAACATTTGTGTAACCTCGTTAAGAAGCACGAACACGTAACGAATAATTATGAAAGGCTGCAGTGCAGCAGCGAGTTGAAACCACTGCTGAACACTGGGACCAAACGTTTCAGTTTTCGCTGATAAACTATTTGTAGGGAGTGCTTGGGCAGTGAATTTTTTTTTTCAGATCCCACTCCACGAGATGGTATATTTTATTACACCGATTACGTCAACTGCGACGTAGTGGACATCGACTTCCGAGGTCATCGTAAGTAACTGTTGCGTAGAATATTAGAAAACTCGCTGGAAAATCCCGGTGTATTTTTATGACCTAAAAATTATAATAAACCAACAAACTTTTCGCATGGCACACATTATTGTAACGTCTTATTCAATTATTCGCCCAAAAAGAGCATGGCTGTGAATTCTAAGCTGCCACTCATAAAATAACAAATAGTTCAGGTAATGGCTAACAGCACTGCAAACGTTACTAATGTTAACCACACCCTCCCCCCCATTTCAAAAACTTACAAAAATTACATTTGAAATCATCTCTTTGATTCAGTCATCGTCGAATATCATCCGGTGTATTATGTTATCAGACACGCAACTTTCAGAATAAATATGACGCTTTCATTTTTTGTAAATTATTGCATTTGAAAGAAAAGAATTGAGACCTATCTGATTTTAGCTGCGAATTAAATCAATTCATTTATTTATTTATTTTCATTTATATTTACTTTTACAGAAAGCCTGCGTTGCCTCAAAAGCATTATCACAGGAGAGCTTGTCTGAGCACGATGTGTTCCATGTTTTAATGTAATAAGCAATAAACTACCTCAAACCATGTTAACATCAAAGTCATCAAGATTAAACACATAGTAAGTTAGCTATAAGAAAATTATCTGAAACATAACTCGAGCTGTAATACACTATTTTATACTACGTCGCGAATAAAATTCCTGAATCCTGTGTACAGAAACATAATTTACAGGTAAGAAAGTCAAGTCTTGTACAGTTTGTGTGAACAAATATTTGAAAAAAACAGTTTTTATTTTAACTGCATTCGCGTACCTTTGAGCGGTCATGCGGGTCGGAGCATAAGATTGCTCTGACAGGTAGGAGCGACTAAGAATACCTGTCTGTTAAAAAAAAAAGATAAGGTTGCGTAAAATGATTCTGAAGCATTTTCTTCTTGTAGTTGACGTTTTAAAGCGCAGCAAGGTTTTTATCTGAGTCGTACTTTGCGATGGGTCCTAACTATTGGAGACGATAACATGCTTATTGTACTAAGGAAATATACCCGATATGAGAGCTGCCGAGGAGCTGACTTGGCGCAAGTTAGATGTCCGTTTTACACACAAACTGCATTTATGACAGTAGAAACCTTTTCTCAGGAAGCAATATATAACCTGAAAACCCCTACCAATTCTTTTCGTGTTTTCAGAATGCATACTATGGGCGCAGAGATCAGTAAAAGACAACGTGCCACAGGACTGCATCGACCACTTCGTTGACATCTGCGGCGTCGTGGTGCCGGAACACAGCAGAGACCTTTGCCCTGATGGAGAGGGTGACTACTAATAAACTAAGCGCTTTCCCATATAAACGTCTGTTTTCACTTGGCGTATCTACACTGGAACATCTTACCCAAAAAGCTTATGTGGTAATAACATGAATTTTCACATAATCTGCATCAACATAATGACGAGTGCGTTTGAATCTTTCGAGCGTCTAGGTTGAAAGGACTGCCCTGTCAGTCTGTCGATGTTCGTGTTATTGTTCGGTGAAGCAGTACCTATATATCTACAAGGTAGTGCGACGTATGCAAGGCAAAACATTCGAAAACGAAAAAAATAAAGGTAGGCTAAAGCGCAAGATACAAAATTACGAACTCCATTTCAACATTTTACTGATGATCGGACAGTTACGATGTCACCAGACAAAGAACCACCATATGGGTGATGGATTATATATTCAATCGAATATCAATTGTATTGTGTGGAAGCAGATACACATGTGGAAGTGCATTGGCATCACCTGGCTTGCTCGGCTGTTCGCTCCCTGGTTACGCCTTGCCTGCTGTTGCTGGTATGCTCTCGGTCGCTGTGTACTTTAATAAACAACCGTAACAAGTGGTGGAGGTGCTGGGTATCACCTGTCGTCGTTGTTCGGAAGAAAGATGGCACAATACAATTCGGCGTCGATTATTGCTGGCTTAACAAGAATACACGAAAGGATGTGTACCCGTTGACACGAATTGATGACGCACTCGACAGCTTGCAAGGAGCGGAGTTCTTTTCTTCCTTGGATCACTGCTCTGGCTACTGGCAAATTATCACAGGAGAGCCTGGTCCCATGGCTGAGACTGACCGCTCCAAAAGCACGTTTGTAACACCAGATGGATTGTACAAATTCACTGTAATGCCATTCGGTCTCTGCAACAACCCGCCACCTTTGAACGCATGATGGACAACATGTTACGCGGCCTGAGGTAGCACACTTGCTTCTGCTAGTTAGATAATATTACCGTACGTTGTTAGACACCAGCTGAAGTCTTGCGCCACTTCCTGCTCTTATGAATTCTGCCACACCAACTGGCAATCAAAACGCACCAATCTAAATGCGCCATGCAATGCTGACTGCGCGTGCCACCACACCACGCGCTGGAAAAAGAAGGCTGCCGGCTTTTCTAAGGAGCGGCACGAGACGAGACGTGAGAAGAAGTTGACGATGTTTTCAATACCGAGCTCAGGAAAACATCTGTGTATTTAGTTGACAGGCACAAGTTCACCAAACATAAATATTTGTTTTAGCTGCCGGCATTGTACTTGTTCGTTACATACTGGTGGAGGTGCGTGATATGATTTCAAGCCCATCTCAGGTGAGGGAGCGTTGCCCAGAACCTCTAAGGTTGAAGCCAGCGCAGTTGACTCCCATACACCAACGCACGAGTCGCCGCCTACGAGGTGAGCAGCCCGAGTTTGGCGCTCTCTTCGATTCTTCAAGACTAGTGGAGAACGTGAGTTCCGAATACCCTGCAATGGCCGCCCAGGCGATGCCATTTTCATCTCATATCGTCATGAACCCACGCCGAATGCCATACGTCTTCCACGGCGATATTTTTGAAGATTCCGAGGACTGGTTTGTTGGTTTCGAACGCGTTGCCAGATTGAATGGTTGGGACGAAGTCAGGAAACTTCGCTACGTCTACGTGGCACTGCAAAATTCTGCGCGTACGTGGTTCGAGAACTACGAAGCGTTCTTTTTGTCGTAGGACGACTTTCGAAAGGAATTCCTTGCTACGTATCCAAACACTGATCGAAAAAAAAAAGACAGAGGCCACGCTTCAGACATGAAACAAGCGAAACAACGAGAGCGTCGCCATTTACAGTACGGTCCACTGTTAGGGGGAACACGTGAGCACGCTGCGGGCGGTCCGCGGGGCGCCAACTGCTGGCGAGATTTGGAAACACGGAGCATGCGCGTAGAATCGCAAGGGCGGTACTTGCCCGCGTCGTCTGCTACTACCACCCTACGCTCGGCTCGCGCTAGCGACAAGCTTGCTGTGCTCGCTTCATCGACCATATATTTCCATGTCTGTCATCAAAAGCGGCTGGCTGGTTCGAACGACTTTTGAGAAGCTTACGATTAGATTTTTGGTGAGCACAAACATTAGGTTACGCGAGGGATGGGCTTCGTTATCGCTTTCACAGACTTCCACAGCTGAGGACATATTTATTCGCTGATCACATTTTCGGCGGAGCTAGTTCTTAGGAGCGGCATGGCTAGAGTACCTGAGGACGAAAGGCTTCGAATAGTCGAGCTGTACACCAAAAAATACAGCCAGCGTGATGTCACTGCCATCGCGAAATGGCCACTTTCTCATTACCAGCGTAATCATCGGCATTACGAATGTCTTTTTTTTATCGCCAAGTTCTGTCCTGCGTAGTCCTATTTCGCTCACACAGATGTGCTTTTTATTATGTGTTTCACAAGGCTCAGATGTGTTTCATTACCTTTGCATCATTCAAATATTTCGAGGCTACAGATCTGACCTAACTCAACCTGTCTAAGTGTGAGAATTTAACTTTTTGTTGTTTACTCCATAGTATTCTATGAACACCATTTTTCAGCTCGTATTGGTAAAATGTAATGATTTTCGAAAAAGTGAATGCTATCGCATATTCGAAATAAGGAGCATCTGTCGTTTTCGCTTCAACGAAGAAAACGAAATGTAACGCCAGTTAGAACTGACATTTACTGCGCATTACAATCCACAACAAATATATAATTCAGTGTAACGCCGTATTGGCATACATCGAAGTATCTGCAAGATGTGTTTCCTTAATATGGTTCTAAATACTATAAGCCCATGGCTTTTCTTTGCATTTTGCCTGTAATCTAAAATCGACTGCTTTGGCCGTGAACTGAATTGCAACGAAGCTGCCGAGAAAACACAACAACCGACAGGCACTTTTTTTCTGCCCGCTGATTACCCGGAAAGGGGCAGGGAGAGTGCGGAAATGCGAACGCTGTATCCAGCGCACGGCAATCGCCGGAGCGGAAAGTAGCAGACGAAAGGCGGCGAGCCCCACCCTTTTGCGTCTATGCGCAAGCGCAGCGTTTACAAATCTCGCCGCCAGTTTGCGCCACGCGGGCCACCAGCCACGCGTTACCGTGTTTCCTCCAAGAGTGGACGGTACTGTACATTAAAGATATGTCCAGGCTGTCCCACTCGGCCGATCCGAACATGCCTGAAGAACAGAAGTTGCGGCACCTGATGCGTGAAGTGAAGAAGGAGCTTTTTGCAGGCCTGGTGCGTACTCCACCCCGCTCTATATCTGAGTTCCTGCAGATAGACCCTGCAGCAGCGTGCGCCAGTACAACAGCGGCGTAAACACCTCATCTGTTATCGCTGTGTCGACAGCCCTCACGAGCAACATGGACCTCTTGCTTGAAATAGTGAGGGCTGTCGTAAAGGAAGAGCTTCAGAAAATACAAATGACTCAAAGTTATCTAGCTATGCCTTTCCTCTTTTGCCGACGTTTTGCGTGAAGAAGTGCGACAAGCGGTTCTTCAACCACAACCTCAGGTACTACAGCGCGCACAACCGGAGCCTCCACCTCAGTTGTCACACGCGCAAGTTGTACGACAGCACCTCGGACGCATGAGCCAAACGGTAAAATTACTCTGATGCCTCCGACATTTTTCCCGGGTACGTTTTTTCCGGGGTCTTGCTTCTACCAATGCCAGAAGCAAGACCCCGTAAGAGCGATGTATGGCGCACTGTAGACCGGCGGCCCCTCTGCTACCACTGCGGAGAAGCAGGTCATCTTTACCGGGCGTGCCAGTATCGTCGAGTGGGACTGCGTGGTTTTCCAGTCAATGCACCGTGCTCGCAGAACGGTGAACGGCCCTAAGAAATCGAAGGGTACTTGTCTTCACGCTATTCACCTCAAGACAAGCAACAACAGGGGCACGTTATACAGCACCGATGCGCTATCAGTCGCCGAGTCCTCGCCCGTCGTCAAATCTCCGAAGAGCACGTTCACCTAGCCCGCGGCGGGAAAACTAGAGCCAGCGACCTCTGGAGGTGAGGTCGCTGATATAATAACAACTGAAGAGCCTCCATTGTTAGCCCGACAGGGCGGCGGGAGTTACGCAACGACGGACAAGTGCAGTAGTAGCAACGTTACTTACGAGATACTAGTCACTATTGACAACGTCGAGGCCATTGCACTAATTGACACTGGTGCAGACTATTCCGTTGTTAGTAATGCTCTCGCAAAGAAGGTGGAGAAGGTGATGACTGAATGTACCGGACCTCAGACACGTACCACTGGAGGGCACTTAGTTAGCCCCGTGGGCTAACTAAGTAACTAAGAATTCGGTTCGGACTGTCACAGTGTATGGACGTGTTTTTTGAGCGCTCCCGATCGACTGCGCAGATAAGTGGTTTTGCATGTTTTGAGCTTGTCTTTATAATTACAAGGCAGCAGTTAAAATCCATGTAGCACTTATCTTATTGTACGGCTTTTTCGGGGGTCAGTCACCAGGTATTTATTAGTTAGCGCGTGTGTGTTTGACTTTTTTGTTTTTTGTTGTTTTTCTTTTGCCAGCCGTGGGAAGGTGCACATACAATGAACACGCAAATTGTTGTAGTAGAGCTTAGACTTTCTTTTTCGTAGGGCAGGGCTCGAGTTTTATAATTATCGAGTCAGACAAGTAATAGAAACAATTATTGTCAGAAAGACATGGTTAAAAATTTTGTAATGTTTTCAGGATGTGGGGTTGGTTTGAAAGTGGACCCAAGTGTAGAAGCGGATGGAGAAGAGGCTGACGCGAAATGTAGGCAATGTGAGGTCGAGGAAAAAATGGAGAAAATGATGGTTGCCCAGAGTGACCTGCTGATGAGAATCACGGAGCTCGATACTGCGTTGGCGACAGAGCGAGAAAAAACGAGGGCAATGGGAGAAAGGTTGAAGTTCGCCGAGGAAGCACTAGCCAAGTCAACAGAGGAGTGGCCTACGGAAAGAACAGTAGCGAACTGGCAACCATAACGGCGGAGAAGAAAGAGCAAGCAAGTTAGAAAGAAAAACAGGTTCA